GAGTGGGGGCTATTCTGTTTATTGTACCCAATGATTACCTGACCTATGGACAGGTGGCGCATGCGTGCTTTTGGTGTGAGGAGCAAGAGACCATGTATGGACTTTGGAGGCTAGATTGGCTGAATTATAGGAGGTAAGGGAGGCAGAGAAGTACATTGATGAGGCTTTTTGGGAGACTGTAGAGCTGTCCCACTTTCAGTCAGACAGTCCCGGTGCTGTTAAGGCTGGTGAAAAGCTCAGGGAATAAGAATATTCATCTAGAGCAGAAGGAAACCACTCCTTCCAGATGATGTTATGGTATTCTCTCACACTGATGATACTTCTCTGGGGAAAGGAACTCCTGTCATTAGGAAAAGCAAGATATTAGGAATGGGTGATTCGATCATTCAAAACATAGGTAGCTAGGTTTGTGATGACTAGGAGAACTGTATGGTGACTTGCCTGCCTAGTGCAAAGGTTGCGGATTTCTTGAGACATCTATATAGACTTATGTGTATTACTGGGGAGGAGCCGGTGTTCGTGGTTCACGTAGGTACCAAAGAAATAGGGTATTTCTACACTACCACCCTAGTTCGAACTAGGGTGGTAATGTAGGCAACCGGAGTTGCAAATGAAGCCTGGGATTTGAATTTCCCGGGCTTCATTTGCATATTGCCGGGCGTCGCCATTTTTAAATGTCCGCTAGTTCGGACTCCGTGCCCCGCGGCTACACGCAGCACGAACTAGGTAGTTCGGATTAGGCTTCCTATTCAAAACTACCGTTACTCCTTGGGGAGTAAGCGAGGCAGACGAACCCATGGAGACCCGACAAGAGCAGCAAACCCAATTGGTCCGGCAGCTGACTACCCAATTTCAGGAGCATCAGAGACAGTTGATCTAGGAATTAGTTGCGCAACAAGACCAGTGGCAGCAGATGGTGAAGTGGAGATGGGGAACGACGGCGGGCAGACCAGGCGGAGCTGGGGAGGGACCCAACCTACCCCTGTGCCTCACGAAGCTGGGACCTCAGGACGACCCCGAAGCATTCCTCACCACGTTCGAGCACGCAGCCTGATGGCCGCCGGAACAGTGGGCCACCCTGCTGGCCCCCTACCTGAGTGGACTGGCCCAGCTGGCGTATCTCAGCCTGGCAATCATGGATGCTCTGAATTACCACAAGGTGAGGGAGGTCATATTAAATCAGCAAGGACATTCACCCAAGACTTGCCAACAGAAGTTTAAAGTGTTTAGGACAGACGACCGACCCCAGGCGGTGGCGCAACGACTGTGGGAGTGGGCCAACCGCTGGTTGGAACCCGAACACAAGACCAGCGCGCAGGTCACAGAGATGGTGGTAATGGAGCAGTTCATACACATCCTACCGCATAAAGGACAAAGGTGGGTGTGGAGGAACCAGCCCACGACCCTCAACGAGGCGGTCACCTTTATGGAGACCCATCTCCTGACTGAGCGAGAAGCAGGCGGCAGCAAGCAGGAGACCCTGCCAGGCCCAAAGGTAGGGGGGCCCAGGCCCCAGGGTAAACCCGCAGGGAGAGAGGGAGCCCTGGGAGTTTGGCAGGGATGGGACACCAGCCTGCCCCCGGAGAAGGCAGAAGGGGGGGAACGGCCGGAGGTGACCCCCAAGGAAGCCCAACCGGGGCCCTGGGGGCCATGTTTTCAGTGTGGCCAGGAGGGGCATTTCAAGCGGGAGTGTCCCCTGATGGACTGCACATTGAATCAGGGGGAACTGCCCGAACCAGAGGACGGTGGCACTGGGGAAAGGAACCGGGTGCTACGAAAAATGACAATAGAGAGCCGTTGGTTGTCTCCCTCGGAAGGCGGCGCGATCAATAGGGCTTCTCGGGGTAACCATTTCTTTAGCAGGTTGACGTGGAAGAGCTGGGTCCCTTGTTGGTGGCTTGACATCTTTACCTCGTAGTCAACCTCCCCGACTTTCTGGACCACTTCTGGAAGGTAGGCAAGGCAAGAGCCCTGCTCTACCCCAGGCTCTTGCCTTGCCTACCTTCCAGAAGTGGTCCAGAAAGTCGGGGAGGTTGACTACGAGGTAAAGATGTCAAGCCACCAACAAGGGACCCAATTCGCCCTGAGCGGACGCCCTAAGCTGTGCCCAGACACGGCCCGGTCCACCACAATCGCGCTGCCCTCCGAGGGAGACAACCTGGGATCGTGGAGCAGGGACGAGGTGGAACACCCTGAGATTACTCTAGACCCCGAGCTGACCCCTCAGCAGCAGGGACAACTGCAAGGCATCCTCCAGTGACACCAGGAGACCCTCACGACCCGACCTGGATGGACGACCCTAGGAATACATCGGATCATCATGGAGGAGGGCTGGATCGTGCGAGAACCTCTACACCTCCTTCCTGGAAAATGTGGGACACCGTGAGGCGGGAGATCCAATTGATGCAGCGGTGGGGGGTAATAGAGGAGTCAGCGAGCAAGTGGCACAGCCCAATTGTCCTGGTCCCTAAAGCCAATGGCTCAACGCAATTCTGTATAGACTTCTGGCGGGTAAACTCGATATTCTGCTTCGACACATACCTGATGCCGAGAGTGGACAAGCTCCTGGAACGGCTCGGGCAGGCCTCCTATATAACGACCCTGGATCTGTCGAAGGGGACAGATATCCCTCAACCCAGAAGCCCGAGAGAAGGCCGCCTTTTTGACCCCCTTCGGCCTGTTCCACTTCCGAACCATGCCTTTTGGTCTCCATGGAGCAGCGGCAACCTTCCAGCAGCTGACAGATCGGATACTGACCCCACATCACGAATACGCCACTGCCTACATAGATGACATCGTCATCTACAGCCCGACGTGGGAGGACCATCTGAGGCATGTAGAGGCAGTGCTCTCATCCCTGGGTAAGGCCGGGCGCACAGCCAACCCAAATAAATGTCATTTCGCCCAAAGCGAAGTCTCGTATTTTGGGTACTCAGTGGGGCAGGGGCAGTTGAAACCCATCTACAGCAAAGTACAAGAGACTATCCGACCCCGACAACTAAAAAACAGGTCCACCAATTCCTGGGGCTCGCGGGGTACTATAGGAGATTCGTACCGCAGTTCGCCACGTTGGCAACGCCGTTGACTGAACTAGTGAGTAACACTGAACCCTCCAAGGTGAGATGGAACCCCCAGGCAGAGCGAGTCTTTCAGGTATTAAAAGAGAGACTGGCCTCGGCTCCCGTGTTAACACAACCAAATTTCAATAAGCCCTTTATTCTTTACACAGATGCCTCGGAGGTGGGACTCGGCGCTGTATTAGTGCAGGAAGAGCCGGGCGGGGATCCTATACCCATCCTATACCTCAGCCGAAAGCTGTTGCCCTGCGAACGAGCCTACGCTACCATCGAGAAGGAAGCACTGGCGGTGAAATGGGTGGTTGACACATTGAGATACTATCTATGGGGTACTAAATTCAGATTGGTGACGGACCATGCCCCTTTGGTCTGGATAAACTCTATGAAGGATACGAACGCCCGCATAATGCGGTGGTATCTGGCCCTACAGCCCTACTGTTTTGGGGTAGTGCACCGACCGGGGGTCACTCACCTTAACGTGGACTTCTTTTTGCGGATAGGGGAACAAACCTCAACCCGTTGCAAACCCCTGCAAAAGGGGGAGGTGTGTGACAGACCAGGCGAGGTCCGCACTAGCCTTGGGGGGAGGGTTACCCCCAAGGCCAGGAAACGGACATCGCGGCCAGCAGTGTCGGGGCCATCTCCAACCGGCCGGAGCAAGGGCGTGGGGAAGCGTGGACAAGCCCGTGCCAGGGGAGACGGGGACTGGCCTGAGCCATGGGGAAGAGTCCCGTCGGGGCGCATCAACCCGCCCAGGGGGGTGGAGCCCCAGACACGCGCAGGAGAGAGCCCAGAAGGAAAGACGCAGGAGGGGCAGGGCTAACCTCCCTGACGTCACAAGCCAAGGCAGGGGGGAGCGAGGCAGCAGCCCCCCTGGCTTCCAGAGGTGCCAAGCCTCCTGCCTTCCAGGCGAAGAAGGAGGACAGCCCCGGCAGCCTGCGGATCGTGGTTGGATGGACACGGTGGCACCAGCGGGGTGAGTGATCCAGCGGACGTCCTGCCGAGGAAGTTGGAAGGTGGGGAGTGGAAGGAGCCCGGGCCGGCGCCTTTTTGGTGCCCGTGGGCAGACGAGTTTAACGCGGCGGCCCCGTCTGCCGTGAAGAGCGGCTTTTCGGGTCCCGACCCCCCTCTGAGGCCCCGGGGC